GTATTATTTCTTTAATACTTACATAACTCGTATTATTGAGATTTTGAAAAAAAAACACATTAATTTCCTTCTCCTACCTACTTTATAACCCTGAGGTAAAATTAAAAAAAAATCTTCTTCTTTGAATTGACAAAGTGTAGATATTTGGCACGAAACATTGTGTATGGACCTCTACCAAGACTTACAAAGTATAGCCCCAAGGTCAAAATTTGGGGGGGGGGATGGGGTCATTGATTTTCATTATGTACATATAGTATCTTCTTGTCTGAAGTTACAAGGCTTAGAGCTTTGATATTTCCTTTATAATATCATCAATACTTTTACTAAGAGAGTTATTGGTCTCAATATTTAACTCTAATTGATAGAAAAAATCAATGTCAAAAGTTAAAGAGATACTTAGAAATTTTAATCCACATTATACTTGATTTTCATGAATTATGTTTATTTTTCTTCTCAAATATTCTTTATAGCGCAGAAAAAACCTCAAACATAGCGTCCTTTTGTAGTGTGTATCATTAAAAAGGATGCATAAAATAGGAAAATTACTATCTGTGTTTTAAAAATCAGCGGCGTTATTGGAAAATCGTGTTCAGTTACAGCACTTTAACATATATAAAAATGTAAAGATGTAAAAAAAAATATTTACATAATCTTTGTTTACAATAAACACTTGTATAACACGCTAAATAACACAATATAATAAATATTTTGATGTATTAGCGTGGAATTATCCTTTACTTATCTTGTTTACAATTCGACTCATGTTTTTTTCTTGAAAGGAATATTATGAATAGTCCGATTAAAATAAAAATTAACGTCAAACAAATTGCAACACAAGCTTTTTTTACATTTTTAGTTTGTTATACACATCATATAAAACAGGTAAAAACCCTAAAAAAATCTAACCATGGCAAACAAGTAAAAAAAGCAATTCAAATTTTGCATTTGTTTCGAGTTTTTATATGGCTCTGCATGTACACCATACACAGAGTTTTATACTGTAACCCGTGTCGAGGTAAACAAAAGTTTTGAGGCTGCGCTATTTAAATATATTAAAATTTACACACTTACTTCTTGGAGTTGGATTTAGAAGCTGTTGTGCAAAGTATGTATAAATTTCTATATTATATTTACTTGTTTTTACAACTTTTAGCCTCGTACATGCCCAAATATCAAATACAATGAATGAATTGTAATGGGTTTTCGCGTGTATATATATCAGCGATTGTCGTTTAAAACAGTAAAGATTTTGCAATTTTCATGATATATAAATAATCATTAGCCTATATATTATATATATATTAACATTCCTTTTGATAATAAGATGTTTATGAAGTAGGAAAAATAAAAATAAACAAATTTAAGTTTATCCTGGGTAGCTTCAAAATGTAACTACGGAAGCGTGTTTGGGTAAACAATGCACGAAATCTAGAATAAATTGTTATTAATTTTAGAATCATAAATGCATGATATTTATTAACAGATCATTAGTTTTTGGTATAAAAATGTCATTGTGTATGATAGCTACTATGTTTTCATTTTAATAACATTTAGAAGATAAGAATCGAAAGGTAATACTGAGTGTGATACGAGTATATTATCTTTTTTACATACTAGTGATATATGAGATGTCAGGGGAGTCAAAAACAGATACATAATTTACAATGTTTATGTAATTTCAAAATTGTGATTCCAGAAAAGGGAGAAAACTTATTTTACAGTCACAGTAAGCAGTTCAAATTGTTGTTGAGCTCCATGGTTTAACCAGAGACATAGATAACATGTTATCTGTGTCTCTGGTTTAACTAAATTGTGCTACAAATATTGATGAGGAGCTATATTCGGAGTTAACTGATGCTTTGCCAGTGGTAATAGATCACAATTTTGAGTGTTAAATTCGTTGTACAATTTTACAAACACATGAGATAAGATAGTTTCAATACAAACGTAATGAATCAGATATGTCTGTGCTAATATAGATATCTGCATGTCCATCTACACTGTCTGTCTTTCTGTTTAAAAACATGTCTATCTGCCTTTCTGTCCGTCTGGCTCTCTGTTTTTTGTCTTTACCAAAAAATAAAATTTGATAGTTGTAAAACTTGATTCTGAGATACTGTTAACATCTGCCTATCTTTAATAGGGTTTGTCTATCTGTTTGTTTTCCTTTCCTTATGCTTTTCGTCCTATATTTATGAAAACTAAAGCATATGGTCTGTGAATCATATTGAAAGTATTGGCCTAAATGAACAGATAACTCATTTATATGAAGAAAGTGATTGATAAATAGTTTGGGTGCTTTTTTTGATAAGCCAAAAATGAAAGCCCATGTCATACCTACAACCATGTGACCACAGGGGAAATGCCTCCTTTTATTTAATTCTGTTTCTCTCGTCAATAACAGTTACAGATGTAATTTAAATATCTGGTAAAAAAGTGATCCGTCAGATGCATTAAAAAGCAAATTTACATGAAAATTGCAGAGCCGGTTTGATTGAGTCTGTATATGACGGATAATGAAAAAGTGCAACATCCCTAATGCCCCATAGCACCGGATTGAGCGGTACTAAATTCTCAACACTTTAAAGTGCTGGATTCAATGATTCGAAAGACCAGAAAAATATAACAATACTGAAGTAAAGTATGGGGCAACATTTTACGGCTGCCACACAGCACTTCACATCTATAAATATCTGGTAAAATAAGTGATCCCTCGGAAGCCTTAAAAACAGCAAATTTACTGAAAATTACAGGCATGGTTTGATTGAGTCTGTGATCATGAAAGCTGTATTTGACGTTGAACATACGTTTTGCTCTATAGTGCATCCAAATTTATGCATTGCTCTGAAGAGGACTCCACTTTTTGGGTAAAATTTATTTGATGAATAGTATTATTTTTTTAAGACCAGACAATGTTTTTTTTGTAATCTCTTTTTAATTCCATTTTAGCTGACTGGATGTAAAGCCGAAATGATAGAAGAGAGTATTGTTATCATTACGACGAGAAGAGAAAACTGCAAGAGACCATAATATGATTAGAAGTTCAGAAACAAGAAAAACATGTTGAACGTATATTTATTTAAGACAATAACTGTGTAAGTTGCAGAAAGAACATAAACTTAGTGGCAATGTTGTCAGTAAAGTTGAAACCTTCGACTTTCATGTTTAAGTAAAACAAGACACTTTAAGCGTGAAGTAAGGTCCTCGGAAGAATCAAAGGCGTAAATGGCCTCCTGACAGCTAAAATACGTTACCACCATTTTTGTAACAGTAACAGTCATTTCAAGACGTTCTTTTTATGAAAAGTGCAAACACACGACTTATAAATCTAGTGAAAAGACAATCGAAAACAGCAGAAGAAAGCTTTTTAACCACTATGCAATACTTTGAAAGTTATTGAAAGGATAACTTTTTTTTAATGTGACTTGGTGTAGTCGAACTAATGAGCATTATGAGAGATATAGAGATGTGGAGATCACTTAAATATCTCTTTATATAATAAGGAAGAAAACATAAATAGGTTAAACAAGATGTGATGGCATTCAATTTCAAAGGTGAAATATTTTTTAAAGCAACCTAAATGATACATGACATAAAATTGGCATTTTGAACATATAAAATTCTAATTTTGAACCATTACTAAAGACATAACTACAGCTCATTTTCAGCATTTATTCTTCACTAACTTAAGTGTTGTGCAATATAGATAGTTGGACCATCCTGGCAATGATAGATGAAGTTATTTCTACTAAATCATGTTAAAAGTGATAGTTTGCATAACATTTATGGGTAATATTTGGATGGATGAGACTTTGGTAACGTACAAATATGTTAAATGACACAGCAAAAGACTAAATAACGAGTTACTTTCAGAAATTGAGTATATTACCAGATGCATTGTTTGTTGTAACTAAGTTTGTTTTCTTTATTTTTATAAATTATTCAAAAATAGTTAAAAAATGCTAGAATAATGTCAATGTAATTGATGTAACGTATGTTACATTTTGCTTAAGTGATTAAGTGATTATGTTTCTTTATTTATATAAGCTTATGTGATAAATATTATTTGAACCTCTTTTCAATTGAAAATATTAGGTATTTTTAAGATAATGCAATTTGAACGTTTTGCATTATTATTATGAGTGGGTGGGGTAATAATCTTGTGTGTCACAAGTGAATAAATAATAAAAAAGAGGCCAAACCTGTTATTATTCATTGCAAATTCTATTTTTATGAACACCAATACATGCTGGCTAAAAAACTACCAATCTATAACAGAGAAAGACAAGACAGTCGCCACATATTAAACATATTACGATATTATATTACGATTGTTATGCCTGGACAGGTACTCGTAAACTACCTGCCAAAAGTCAAGTTTCCGAAGGTATATTTTTTTAGGGTTTTACTACAAGGTCCATGCATATATATTGATTGCAAAATACTAAAGAAAGCTTGTGTTGCAATTTGTTTGATGTCAAGCTACATATACTCATAACTTTAGTGGCCTAGAAAACCATCTTTAATATTTGTTATTTCATTAATTTTATTCTTTAACATCATGCATATGTTCGCAGGTCTCTCTTTCCGTGTGTTTTACATAACAAGACCAGACCTGGGTAGGTGCAAAAGAAAGACCTCAACGGATTTTTTTTGCTTAAACCACAGACACTTGTGGTGTGGAGCTTCAACGCCTTAAATCCAAACAAAAATGTAAATTTGGCGTTTGGAACCCAACATCAAAAGTGTCTGTGGCTTAAACGGGTCAATCAAAAAAACAAAACATGTTACGAACTATAAAAGAAGACCGAATGTGTAAGAATATCTATAAGCTGTTACAAGACCACTCATATTCAAATAAAGTGATTGTTCTTTCAACATGTTGGAAAAGTATACAATAAAAGAAAGCAATGAATATGTAGGTCATCTTGACAACATCTTTTATAAAATTAAAAAAGGTCAATTCAGTTGACTAACTTTCAACTAAATGTATACTGTACCTTATTTTCATATTTAATTTAATCACGCTATGTAAATTTATCCAAACTTCTAAAAATCTAAACATTATCTTTGGTAACTAACGTAAACTATTACCTGAACCACAGTCATGTCAATCTAAACTTCCGATATTCGTGTACAAAGTATTAGGGACGGTTATTTTCTGATTTTATTGATTTGTCAATTACGAATACAATTATAGCGTTCATTAAAATATCTAAACCCCACTTCGACTATGTTCGTGCAGTTTAAGAGAATTTATATCGAGTACACGTGTATAACCTATATTTTTTGAGTCACACTCGCTTAATGTAATAAAACAGTCGGTTGAGTGATTGCCTACTATTGCCATTTTTTTGGACCATTACCCTTTGCAGTATATTTTAATGCAAAGCCAAATGTTTTTCTACATGGATATAAACAACTTGAAACAACTTGGGTTTTTACTCGTTTTGTACGGATTTGAATCGACATTTTATTGCTTTTAACCGAATGAATTTTTAATATTAATTCTTAAACCATGTTATTTAAAAAGATATATGTCTTACCAAAATAGGCGCAAAAATATAAAACAAAAGCGAACAAAATAAAAACAATCATAGCTTCAATAATGTTGAAAATATGAAAGAGAAAGAAAACAAGAAGTTTCGCGGTTTCGATCTTACAATACGCAGGACAATTAGAATAAACCCGTAGGTTACCCTATTTAGCATTAACGCTCAGTATAATTATTTCAGACACATATTAAATTTTAACACATCTTACTCGTATATCTTACGAAACATCGGAGATTTAATTTATTGTGTGCATTTACCGTATAATCAGTAAGCCATTGGCAGGTTTATAAAATCAAATGAAAGCAATTGAAAAATTGAAATAGGTGTAGCTATTTTAAACAGATATAATGAAAAAGAATCAGCATAGTTCATCAAATTTAGGAGAGGGTACTGGTGTACGATAGCCTTAGATTAATTCAATTCTAAAAAAGTATTTTATCATGAACTATGTATAATCAGGTGAACTATATATTATTACATGAGGCAACATGAAGACTGTTAAATATTCATGACGTTGCATGTTTGTGTTCCATTTATTTTATGAGTAATATCTCAACAATTTGAGTGTTATACGAAACAAATTCCTGATTACTGAAGTCGGCTACTTACAGACGAAGATAACTTGAAATGTAAATACAATTAAATACATGTATACACTAAAATGTAAGTATATAGTACGAATTTTTGGACAGGACGGACAAACGGACACTCAGTGATCCATCTGCCCGTTAAGATAAAAAAACAGCTTTCGTAGTGGAAAGTCATGTCACCAGTCATGCACAAAGTGGTGATAATTTACCATCATGCAATTTCAATGGAGAATTAGCCAAATACATGAATTTTAAATCCAAAGAAGGTTAAGGTACGGCTGTCAATGAGAACCGTAATATACAATAACCTGAGAAAATATTAAAAGGAAGTAGCTCTTTGAAGGGCTGCTTTACTATAAATATGACATCAAAGAGCTGCCTTTCAAGTCGCCACTGTTTGTTTGGGCTCACGCACCATTGCACACTTACCTCGCCCTCCCTACCTACTTTGTCGGGCAACTTCCCACGGTTTTAGTCAGGACATCGGCAGCTGTTCTGCAGGATACAAGTTTTTGTTATCTTACTCTTTGTTTAATGACGGTCCATCTCTCCGTTCAGGCACAAAAACTGCTTTCGCAATAGTACAGACCCGGACATTTCACCATTCATGCCATTAAAGGGTCAACTTTGGAACACAAAGTGGTGATAAGTTACCATCTTGCAATTTCCACGGAGTAATAGCCAAATGTATGAATTTTTAGCCAAAGGAAGGTAGACCAATGACAACCTAAATGTATAGTAACTGGAAAAATATGAAGGGAATGTTGCCCTGAGAGGGCTGTTTGTACCAAGCAAAGGGCCTTCCTTTCAAGCCTTCACTTTCTGTGTTACGGACTCGCACAGTCTAGCATCCTTCCTTCGTCGTCTCTCTTTACTTTATAGGGCCAATCCCCGTAGCTTTATTCAGAACACCGACAGCTAACATCATACAGACTAAGTTGTGCTGCCTTAAACGTAACGCTGAGCTGTAGAACACTTGTCGTCTTACACGTTGCATTGGATCTTCAAACATTTGCCGATGCTTTGAGCCGTCTCAACGACGTGCACGTACCGAGGGAAGTGAGAAGTGACTGGTTATCCAATTACAGTTTGGATTCATGTTTTACACAGTTAGTTTATCAGATTATTATTTTTACATAATATCCAAGTTGTGAAAAATTTGTTTCCATGATACTTCTGCCTGTAATAAGAAGTAGACAATATTTTATCTCTGGTAGGTTTATTCCTTTTAAGTAAATTTATTAGGTGTGCAAAATACAATACAAAACATAAAACATCATTCATAAAGAAATCAACGCTACTACCTCCACTTTAAAAAGGTATTCAAATAGGCTAGAACTATTGTCAACTGCATTGTAACTGAGGGGCGCAGATTCAAGCCTCAGAAGAGGCAACTTTTTTTTCTTTTCTTTTTTTTCTTTGAACATAATTTGTGTCTCTCAGATCACTCTTGAGAAGAAAAAAGTGTTTCATTTTAATAATGAAATTATTATTGGTATTTATTGGCTAAATTGTGCCAGATTTATTATCAAATATGGTACCTGATATTTTCAAAGTCTAATAAATAACAAGAGCTGTCGGTAGGACAGCACGCTCGACTATTCTTAGTGCTTGATAGTAAAGGAGCCTAAATAATGTTAAATTTTTTAAGTTCACAAAAGGGCTATTTTTTTTTTATAAATTCATGTTATATGCCTTAGAGAGAGTCTAATTATACAGTATTGGCTTGACTATTCGGAAGGTAATGTCACAAGGGTGTTTTATTGAGTATAATAATACTAATTACCTATGAATACATTGAATATTGAATATCTCAAGCAATAATTGAGATATTTGACTTTACAAAAAAACTTTAACCAAAATTTCTCAGTTCCAAAGGGGCATAATTCTGTCAATATTGTAGGCAGAGTTATCCAACTTGTCAATCTGATGTACCTTGTTACTATAAATAAGTATTGTAAGTTTCAATTGAATATCTCAAGCAATAATTGAGATATTTGACTTTACAAAAAACTTTAACCAAAATTTCTAAGTTAAAAAGGGGCATAATTCTGTCAATATTGTAGGCAGAGTTATCCAACTTGTCAATCTGATGTACCTTGTCACTATAAATAAGTATTGTAAGTTTCAATTGAATATCTCTAGCAATAATTGAGATATTTGACTTTACAAAAAACTTTAACCAAAATTTCTAAGTTAAAAAGGGGCATAATTCTGTCAATATTGTAGGCAGAGTTATCCAACTTGTCAATCTGATGTACCTTGTTACTATAGATAAGTATTGTAAGTTTCAATTGAATATCTCAAGTAATAATTGAGATATTTGACTTTACAAAAAAACTTTAACCAACGCAGACGCCGACGCGGACGCTGACGCCGACGCCGATTCCGGGGCGACTACAATAGCTCTCATATTCTTCGAATAGTCGAGCTAAAAACTAGACGGTTAAAGTATTTTATATTTAACAATCGCAACCAATATACTTTTAAGAAAAATTATGCAAACTTTGAAAATAGCCCCTGATTTGAGTAAATTTTAGGGATATTTTGAATAAGGCCCTCCAAGTAGAAAAATGATTAAACAACTCCTTAAAATGGGTGGGGTAGGGTAACATTTATATACATATTTCAAACATTTAAAGTAGAAACAATAATTTTGCTGGGTCATTTGTTAGCTGAATGCTATTATTTGTTTCTTAAAAATGTTTTATAGGAAAAAAAATTTTATAATGATTATACAATAGAATATTTAGAGTTTCTCATTTCTGAAAAAGAGTCCTTCTAATAGCAAATTATTACTTAAGAAAAATATCCATAACTCGTAAACCATACGGTAAACCTTGTTTAAATTTTGCATTCTTGTGTCTTTTAAGGTATATAACTGACCGATGTTGTCAATTTTATAGTTCCTTATAGTGCCCATAAGGGGCCTCATACCTTAATTTTTAAAAAAATAATGTGTTTATGTTATACAATGACTAGCCGCATTTACAGTGGAGTCATAAAAACAAAAAATAACAAATAATGCAACAGATGTATGTGACTGCAAATTGTCCCAGCTTACACGCAGACACATTTCTGACTTTTTTCAAGGCACAATGTTTTTTTGTAAGTTTTATCTGCTTTATGACTCTTTAATAGAATACAAAATCTAATAACACTACACAAGTTTTTTTCAATGTCTTGTCATTTATAAAAAGTACACGGTGTAGTTTTTGTTGTTGTTTTTTTTCTTTCCACAATGAGCATATTTTTGCACACTCAGAGTTTTCAAATGGATTTAACCAAATGTTGTACAAGTTTTTTTCTACAAGCTAGGTATATATATTTACAAAACACTTTGCACGTTTTGTTTTTCATATTTTTATTTTATCAGTAAATACGGCACATGTTTATACATTTGTTTTTTCTATGTCTCTATTACATGAGCGCTGTTGCAACAATGGTTTAAATATACAACTTAGATCTACATGCACCTACTAATTAATAAAATACAACCTTTAATCTTTCTTAAATTAAAGACCTGTTATTCGTAAAATGCAAGCATACATGGATCTGATCTATAAACTTGCATCTCATAATAAACATGCATCAACAGGTCGGGGAACTTGCTGGTCCAGTATCGTAAATAACCATCCGGATAGTTTCCAAACTCTGTTCTAACACCTTGCTGCAACTGATTATAATGACCTTTAATGTCATTGTTTCGTATAGCCCGTAATAAAGACTTCACAGATGTTTCGTCATAGTTTGGTTGATTCTGATTCCTATTGCGGCGGTTGTGAATAGCTGCTGTGGAAAATAAATAATTTTCAATTAAAGATGTTAAATGCCTACGCCAGTTTCCGCCGCATAAAACATTGGCAGAATTGTTTTCTATTGTACAAGCCAGGGATATTAATCGATCCATCAACAAGTTACTTGCATTATAAAAAAAGTCCAGCATTTTTTCACAGCTCCAAAGTGCAGGGTGCTTCATTATAGCCTGGGTAAACGGTCTTTGCTCTGGTCTTGGTGCTAACATGTGTCTCAGCAAGTTTAAAAGTGGTCTGTTACTAACAACATGTGTAAAATCTGCATTCCCATTTTGTATATCTACCTGAGACCTGAATACATAATAACCATTGGTTACAATGAAGTAAAAGATGAGACCAAGTGGAAAAATATCACTTCTTTGCCAGTAACTTTTCTCCAAATCGGGGAGCCCAGGTCTACGCAAGGCATATATCTCTGGGGGTATCCAATCCACAGTTCCGTACTCATCGCTAAGCGGACATTCTTCTGTCGGAAGTCCATTTTCTGTTTGAGTATTTAATTTTGACAAGCCAAAGTCAGATAATTTAAAGAGAAGCTCACCATTTCCTCTTTGTTTTAGGAGAATATTTGTTGGTTTGAGATCACGATGGACTATTTGACGCGAATGTAAGTACTGTAATCCAAATAATATCTGAGAGATTATCTCGTTGTTTGATATTGGTGGGTAATTGTGCCGGGATTGAATGTATTCCTCCAGATTACAGTCGCACAATTCTAATGCCAGAAGTAAGTATGACCTACTTTGGCCAATCTCGAACTCGTAACAAAAAAACCTGACAATGTTTGCAACGGAGCCTTCTGTAATGATGTCATGATTAATATCAACAACACGTCTTAATCTTTCTCCGAGACTTGCAAGGTCTGTATTAATTTGTTCAGTGTCATTACGACGAATTCTTACTCTCTTCACAGCAACAACGACTTTCTCTTCAAATTTTCCTTTGTAAATGGAAGCTGTACTATTGGTCAAACGGATTTTATCATTTCTACTATAAGTTATCTTGTTTTTATTTCGGAAATTGTTGTTAGTTTGGGCATAGCCATTTGAGACAGGTGTTGATGTCTGAATGTATGTACTTCGTCTATTTGTGTGCCGAGAGTTTTCGAGTACAGGAGAGTTCCAGTTTTTATAATAAAACACGACTGCTACTGCAACAAGAGCTAAGCCAACATAACCTCCAAACAACCAACCTGAATATTCTGCTATCGGCATGATTAATGTTAACAAGACAGCATTTCTTCCTGTTATTCTGAATAGTACCTGTAAAAAGATTTGTAACATCATTCATGTGCAATAAAAGACATTTTAGAACGTTTAAAGGGTCAAAACTGAAACTAATTTAGTGTTACATTACACAATGTGTATGATTTTTACTTTTAAGGGGAAGTAATCACATGGAAAACAACTCTTAATTCGCACAAAATAGCATGAATGTCGTCATACAGGCAACTTTCTCTCAGGGACATTCTATTATACAATATATTGATATTGCTGTGTGGTGTTTAATATTGTGTACTTATTTGACCGAGCAGAGGACAACGGTCCTTAATCATTAATCTCTACTGTTCTACTGACAGAATTCCTTGAGCTGTAGAGCGTTTATCCCCTATATATATATACATGTATTAGTTAATAAGTTATATTAATCAGTGCTTTATTTCATGAAAGATCTGACACCTGAGTAGAAATTCCAACACTGGATTCTTTCATATGTGAGGAAGGTATCCAGCTTGCATGCTTGTGCTAGGCAGGTGCACTCTCGCGAGTCTGTCGGATGGGCACCCGGGTGTTCCTCCACCAGTAAAAGTAAAATAAATCACCTAATAACTTTCTTTGTGCAATCCGGTGAAAAACAGGTACGTTGCAACTGACAAACAATTAATCCTTATATACACTTTTTTATTGAGCAAACGACCAGCATGAAATTTTTAATGCCCTCTCAAAATGTTCGAAATTAACTTTTTATTACAAATGTATAACATCTATATTGACCATAGAAATTATTTAATAACGTTTCAGTTCATTCATTTCTCTTTATATTTTCAACAGAATAACTCCCGATTATCAAACACTCAAAAGTTGATTTGATAAAGTTTTCATGATATTCAATAACACACGTTTGAAAATTCATTAATGGTTTAGGTAATTTATTTAAAAAATTCTGTACGGCTAGTCTCAACAGGGTTACATTCTCTCCCTAAATTTTTTATCGCCCCTCATCGAAAGGTCGACACAATTATTGTCAACTAACTGTCATTGTTCACTTAAACATAAAAAATTTATTTTCAAATTATATAGCTTGCCATTGATTAAACTATCTCGATCGTTGAGATTTGAAAAATATATATTTATTGGCCTACTTAGTAGATTTTGTTACAATTCTATTTTTAGAAAATTGGTTTTCCATTAATTTCCATACTTTATAGTTAGAAAAACTCTACTGTATGTAACGTTTCTTATATAAGAATATATTTAAACTGTGAAAAGATCACAAAAGATCATCACACATATGCGAATTAAGCCATTTTCCTACAAATGTTCCTATACTCTTAAAAAAGAACAAATGAAAATGTAGGTCATCTTGAAAAATGAGAAAAAGGTCATTGTATTTTAACTATAATTTCATGTAGATTTTTATACTGTACTGTACCTTATTTCCATATTAGATTTAAACAAGTAAATAAAGTGTTAACACTTTACTATTGAAAAATTAAAACATTAAATCATTATCCATCATAATTTACGGTATAATTATTTAACTCAACTACACACAATGTACAGTGTGAGGGGCGGTTAAAAAGTTATAGAAATTGGTAGAGTAGATCAGATACCGTACTGAATCGGACACTTTTTGTTTTTAACTGTAAACCGCGTATCGCTGTCGTCTCGAACAACGAAGCGGATGATTTAGGTATTTTAAAAGGATATTTTCACAAACTCCCACGAAAAAAATCTAGTTATACGGATTGATTACATGAGTATGGCGCATAGTTCATCAATTATAGGAATTGGTCTTGGTTGTTAACAATAGCGATAGCCTTAGATTTATTCATTTTTGAAGAAAACTTTTTACCATTGATTCAACTTTATATTGTCATATATATATATACACGTGCGGCATGCACACACGTAGATTCTGTTCTTGTTCGAGGAAAGAGAAGTTAAATGTCGACCATTTGAGTGTTATTCGAGACAAAAAGCTAATCAATGAAGTCGGCTACTAGCAGACGAAGCTGAAGAGACCTTTTTTAAAAGTGTAAATTTTAGGAACTTAAATTTAAAATAACCAGATCTATTTCTGTGAATAACCTGGACATTTTTTTCTCGAAAAGCGTTTTATCTTCAACATTAGATATCGTTAATAAATGAAATAACTATAAATCAAATGCGTAACAATGAGCAAACCGAAAGTGAAAAATATTGACAGTAAACAAGTGAGGGTTTTCTATTATATCAACCATGTTATCTACTGGAAATATTTTAATAGCAGCATACGAAAATGTTTGAAAGAAAAGCTTTCAATTCTGATTTTTTTTTGTTTGGGTTTCACGTCGCACCAACACAGTATAGGTCATACGGCGCTTTCCAGCTTTACTGGTGAAGTAAGACCACTTTTTCAGCAGGTGCAGGCACATAAATAGATCTATAAAAGTGCCGTAAGCTAGCTTGATAGCTTCCTCACAAGAATGAATCCAAAGTCCCTGTCGGGATTTGAACCTATGGCGGTGAGGGGCAAGTGGCTTAATCGCTCGGCCGTCGTCCATGCCTACATTGTAGAGATAAATCAAGACATCGGCAGCGGGTCCGCAGAATACAAGCTTCGGTTATCTTTGCACTTATTTCGTAAAGTTCATACTGTTTATACATCATTTAAGAGTAAATATCTAAAATCCAAATAAATTAAAATAGAAAAATGCCATTTCAATTCCGTATAATAAAATGTAACAAGAAGGCATGATCTGACCCTGGCTCGCTCATCTGAGATGTATCACTAGAAAATGTCACTTTTATTTTGCAATGTTAGTCAATAATAAGGTAACATTGTGTTCGTAAGAAACATAATGTTTTACATTATTTGTAGATGCAAAATGCTCAACCTCTTTACGTTGTAGTTTCGCAAAAGACTTGAATGTAATTCCCTATATACAAGTAATTTATAAATTATGCGACCCCATGGCAGGATCAAATTTAACCCCGGGGACATGATTCATATAACTTTTGTAGATGACAACAAGTTAATTCTACAAATATCTCAGCTCTGGGTATTGCACTTTCAGAGAAAATTCTTAAGACATTTTACTATACAAGTATATGCAAACTAAGTGACTCCCCCACCCGCGGGTTCGGCAAATTTTAACCACAGTGGTATAATTATTATAACCTTTGTAGAGGATGATACTACATATTAAATATCTGAACTCTTAGCATTGAAGTTTCACAAAGGCAAACATGACAAGTCAATATAACTAAAACTATAATATATGGACCTTGACATACAACTTTTCAGCGACAGTCTGTCTTTTAAAGTCAGACAAGCTTTTTGTTGTAAAAGCTACAATGATATTGAACTGCCACTCACTGACCCCAAATAGGGTCATCTATCAGTCATAACCAAACTCTAACCAAACCATACGATTATAGGCCTCAGCATTCGTTTGCTTTAGGTCAGTCAATGTCCTGTGACCTTTGACCTTCTGACTAAAAAAAATTAGGTTCAAAATAGTTAAATTCCTTATATACGTACATAAATCAACTGGGGTACTTAAATAAAAAGATTAATTTTACAAAATAATACTAGGAATAAAATCATAAAAAAAAATGAAAATCGTATTTTAGTCCTATACATAGTCAGATTTACAATATTGCGTAACCCACGAGTTTGAGAGATGTCGGGTAATTAAGATCAAATTGATCTGAAACTGGTCAATTTTCATATGAATAATTATTCTGGAAAACCCTGGGACCTGGGATGTACTATAACGTATCGTATGTTCCAGCTGGGACTAAAAGTCTTTGTCCGAAGGAAAAACGGAAAGAGCAAATGATGTGAGCATAGACCATGTAGACACCAATGAAGAGTAGCTTCATTAAAAATAAAATTGTATGACAAGGAAAATGTTTTTAATGAAATTATAATAGAAAAATGTTTTGCAGTAAAGTCGGGCTAGTCATTTTCGGGCGAATTGCCAGTGGGGCAAAATCATCATATAACCTTAATGCCAATTTGAAAAGGATTTATGGACATTTCAGACCATGGATTTTTTGGACCTGTTTTTTTTGGTCAATTCTGACCAGATTTTTGGACATGGTGGGATATATTTTTAATAAAAACCCTTACAGTAACTCTTTATTTGGTAAAAATATGATATACAATATATCAGAAATTGATATTAATTTTTGATTTGGTCTGATATGTCCCATACAGTGGTTCCAAACTATCCAAGGCATGGTTAATATTGTCCAATGCATGGTCTGAAATGCTAAATATCTGGTCCAAAATGTCCCGAAATCTGGTCCAAAGTGTCCTAAAATATGATCCATTACCTTTGAAAATGAATGTCTAAAATACAATAAAATATAACAAGAGGGCCATGATGGCCCTGAAGTCGCTCACCTGTATATAGGTCCCGGAGCGGGGCCAGTTTAAACCCCAGGGCTTTTATTTGAACAATCTTGGTAGACACCCATTAGAAGATGTTTCATGCTAAACATCTAAGGTCTAGCTGGTCAAGTTTTTTCTTTACACATATAGTTAAAAACAATGACACACCTGGGGCAGGGCCAGTTTTGACCCAAGGGCTTTTATTTGAACAATCTTTGTACACACTTACTAGAAAATGTTTCATGCTTAATATCTAAACTCTAGCTATTCGGGTTTTTTCAAAGAAGATTTTTAATTTTTTGCTATACACATATAAGGAAAATCAATGTCACCGGGGCGGGGCCAATTTTGACCCCAGGGCTTTTATTTGAACAAACTTTGTAGACACTCACTAGAAGATGATTCGTGCTTAATATCTAAACTCTAGCTATTTGAGTTTTTTCAAAGAAGATTTTTTAAGTTTTTGTTATACACAAATAAGGAAAATAATTGACCCCCGGAGCGGGGCCAATTTTGACCCCAGGGCTTTTATTACAACAAACTTGGTAGACACTCACTAGAAAATGTTTCAAGCTTAGTATCTAAACTCTAGCTATTTGTTTTTTTCAAAGAAGATTTTTTAAGTTTTTGCTATACACATATAAGAAAAATCAATGACCCCCGGGGCAGGGCCAATTTTGACCCCAGGGCTCTTATTTGAACAAACTTGGTAGACATCCATTAGAACATGTTTCATGCTAAATGTCTTAGCTCTAGCTCTTTAGGTTCTTTAAAAGAAGATTTTTAAAGTTTTTACTGTATGCATATAGGGAAAATCAATGACCCCCTGGGGCGGGGCCAATTTTGACCCCAGAGCTTTTATTTGAACAAACTTGGTAGACACCCATTAGAACATGTTTCATGCTAAGTATCTTAGCTATAGGTCTTTCCGTTCTTTTAAAGAAGATTTTTTAAGGTTTTACTATATGCATATAGGGAAAATCAATGACCCCTGGGGCGGGGCCAATTTTGACCCAAGGGCTTTTATTTGAACAAACTTGGTAGACACTCACTAGAAAATGTTTCATGCCAAATATCTAAGCTCTAGCTCTTTGGAGTTTTTAGAAGAAGATATTTAAAGTTTTTTCTTTTGGTTGCCATGGCAACCAGAGTTCTGCATGGAATTAAATTCTTTGAACAATTTTTAAAGGTGACCACCAAAGGAACATTCCTGTGAAGTTTGGATGAAATTGGCTTAGTGGTTTATGAGGAGATGTCATTTAAAGTAAAAGTTTACGGACGGACGGAGGGACGATGGACGGACGACGGCCGGACGCCGGACGAAAAGCGATCACAAAAGCTCACCCTGTCACTTTGTGACAGGTGAGCTAAAAATGTAACTATTTAAGTATATTAATATAACTTGTTCAAATTTCTGAGGTAGATTTTTTATTCATGTTATACATGTATTGTCTTATTATCAGTTTAACATGAATTATATTCCGGTCTTGAAATATGATTTTTCAGATCAAGATTACCACAAAATCTATAGTGAAATTCACTCTTCAAAGAATTAATTGTTTTAATAATTTTTCTCATTTTTAGAATGATATTTTACAGATATAGTATCTTAAAGCTGCATGCCTCCAGATTAGCCAAAATACAATGTACATGTATTTCAAGAAAATCAACCGCTTTAAAGATTTTAAGAAAAATTAAAATATTCAGAATTCAAGAAATAATTTACATCTTACATGCAAGTAATTTATTTCTGTATTTATAAACATACATTGTACTTATTACACAGTAAGGGTCTTTTTTTTTCAGACTCTGACCAATTTTTGGTAATTTTCATAGATTTTAAGTGCCTACTGCAATGTGTGATTTACTGCCTTTGTTAACTTGACACTTTTAAACATTAAAACATCTTCATGATAATTAGTATGAATCTGACGGCATGTTGCTTTAATACAACATTATTTAGACAATATCATGCCATTTTACATAAACAAGATGGAATTTAAAAAATAAACATTAAGTTGTACTGTTTTCTCTTAGAATAAACAATTTTGTATTGCACAAATATATCACAGACATTTTTAAATGTACTGGTGGGGGACCATCAACCGGATATTTTTTAAAATATTTTTCCAAACAGATTTCATAATTTTAAAGCTAGAGATCTGAAAATTTTATACAATACGGCTAGGTTCTTCTCCAAACAGGACGATCAAGTTTGTTTATTGCCAATTATGATTATTGTATTCAAGGCTTGTGCAGGGTGGATATCAAAACTGCCTAAGTTGTCCTCACTACCGTACCCTTGTGTCTAGATAGATATGTACATGTAAACCAGATAATGGTTTGGGTGTTATATTTTTTTGGTCATTTTACAAATAATATACAATATTCAAGCAGCATATGCTGAAATTTCGAGTTTTCTGTTTAAATGATTACATGTATGTTGAGTGAAAGAGGTAAAGTATTTATATCTTGACCATACATGTTCTTGTAATAGATATAAAACCACAAATGTTTAGGCAAGTTAAAGTAAAGTAAATTTAATGACTTAATCATAGGAGAAACATGCATTTATTGTAAATAACAAAAAGTGACTGATTGATCAGCAACCAATTAACAAAGAAAACAACTACATGTACAACAAGTGGTTTTGAGGCTGTATGGGTTTTTGATGGTCAACCAGTTTTGGTGGTCCCCAACCAGTACATGTGGCACCGATTATCATTACATGAAAATGAAATTAACTAAAGTTATCACATAAATGATAAACTATTTCGTTTTGCTTTCATGTGAAACAAAATAATAATTTTTACAATCAATAATGGTATATTATGGCACTTACTGTGAATTCCTTTTATTTTATGGGCATCAAATTTTGTGGTTTTGTCAAATTGGACATTTTCGTGGGGTATTTAATTCATAGATTCTCTGTTTTACACAAAAAGTAAACTTTAAATCATGTCATATAAATAATTGTACACAAGAAAAATTACATGTACATTTCGTTGGATCTTAAGTTTGTTGATTGCCCAGTCCAAGATAATAAAAAAATTATATTCCCCACAAATAATAATGATTTTCCAGTAATAAATGATGTATTATGCAGTTATTTAGAAAATTATGGTATTCATTCAACCATTTATTTGATAAATTAAAAGCTATATCTTTAGTGCCTGCAGTTAACAAAATTTTAGTTTGAATTTTAAAAAATTATATTTAAAATAGCATCATAATATTTTGTTCCTAAACATTTTATGTTCATAAATGTTAAATAACAGAACAATTTCCATAATAGACTAGATTATCGAAATAACAAGATTGTACCGTTTTTTTGTAAACAAGAGGGCCATGATGGCCCTGAAGTCGCTCACCTGTACATAGGCCCCCTGAGCGGGGCCAGTTTAAACCCCGGGGCTTTTACTTTAACAAACTTGGAAGACACCCATTAGAAGATGTTTCATGCTAAATATCTTAGCTTTAGCTCTTTGGGTTCTTTAAAGAAGATTTTTTTAATTTTTTACTATATGTATATAGGGAAAATCAATGACCCCCTGGGGCGGGGCCAATTTTGACCCCAGGGCTTTTATTTGAACAAACTTGGTAGACATCCATAAGAACATGTTTCATGCTAAATATCTTAGCTCTAGCTATTTTGGTTCATTAAAAGAAGATTTTTAAGTTTTTACTATATGCATATAGGGAAAATCAATGACCCCCTGGGGCGGGGCCAATTTTGACCCCAGGGCTTTTATTTGAACAAACTTGGTAGACACCCATTAGAAGATGTTTCATGCTAAATATCTAAGCTCTAGCTCTTTTAGTTCTTTAAAAGAAGATTTTTTAAGTTTTTACTATATGCATTTAGGGAAAATCAATAACCGCCTGGGGCGGGGCCAATTTTTACCCAAGCGCTTTTAATTGAACAAACTTGGAAGACACCCATTAGAAGATGTTTCATGCTAAATATCTTAGCTCTAGCACTTTGGGTTCTTTAAAAGAAGATTTTTTAAAGTTTTTACTATATGTATATAGGGAAAATCAATGACCCCCTGGGGCGGGGCCAATTTTGACCCAAGCGCTTTTAATTGAACAAACTTGGAAGACACCCATTAGAAGATGTTTCATGCTAAATATCTTAGCTCTAGCACTTTGGGTTCTTTAAAAGAAGATTTTTTAAAGTTTTTACTATATGTATATAGGGAAAATCAATGACCCCCTGGGGCGGGGCCAATTTTGACCCAAGGGCTTTAATTTGAACAAACTTAATAGACATCCATTAGAAAATGTTTCACGCTAAATATCTTATCTCTAGCTCTTTTGGTTCATTAAAAGAAGATTTTTAAGTTTTTACTATATGCATATAGGGAAAATCAATGACCCCCTGGGGTGGGGGCAATTTTGACCCCAGGGCTTTTATTTGAACAAACTTGGTAGACACCCATAAGAACATGTTTCATGCTAAATATCTTAGCTCTAGCTCTTTTGGTTCTTTAAAAGAAGATTTTTTAAGTTTTTACTATATGCATATAGGGAAAATCAATAACCCCCTGGGGCGGGGCCAATTTTGACCCCAGGGCTTTTATTTGAACAAACTTGGTAGACACTCACCAGAAGATGTTTCATGCCAAAAATCTAAGCTCTAGCTCTTTGGGTTTTTTAGAAGAAGATATTTTAAGTTTTTTCTTTTGGTTGCCATGGCAACCAGAGTTCTGCATGGAATTAAATTCTTTGAACAATTTTTAAAGGTGACCACCAAAGGAACATTCCTGTGAAGTTTGGATGAAATTGGCTGAGCGGTTAATGAGGAGAGGTCATTTAAAGTAAAAGTTTAAGGACGATGGACGCCGGACGCCGGACGAAAAGCGATCACAAAAGCTCACCCTGTCACTTTGTGACAGGTGAGCTAAAAATTCATTAGATATACATGTAGCTTTATGCTCTTAAAGGTCATTATACATGTATCTAGTTATACATTGTAAGTCTTATATCTTTTTGCATTTCAAATGATCTCATACTATATATACACAACTTCAAATATATGTACAAATAATACATATCTTATCAACAATTGAACATAAGAAACTACTTTATCTTAAAAATAATCATTTTTTTATAAAAAAATATATTATATTACAATTATTCAAGCTCATCAGTCATTACTCTTTAAGGATGAATACTGTCTGCATTTAAATCATAAATAACATGATTATGATGAAGAACTTTTACATGGGCGAAGTAACAGCTGAATTATACATCAACGAATTTTCTCAAAAGAAATGGAAAACAAAATATCTCTTCAATTCGTGACCACTACATGTCTGGATATTGTGCTGGTAAAGAGAATTCACTGTAGTTGATGAAATAATCTATAGCTCTAACTCTGTAAAACCCTACAACTTGGTCATCAGCTGACACACCTGAAAATAGATTTAAATCTATTTTCATAAAATAAATATCTTTTTTTTCTCTTTCTTTTTCAGGAAATCTTACATCAATTTATCAGTTTTCATCATATTTGGGACTAAGCACTTTTGTGTATTATGAAGACATTTTGTTCTAATGTATGTAAAATTGGCTGTTAAAAACTTGTCTTCTGAAAGTTTTCAAATAAATCTCCCATAGTCTTGTCTCCCAGATTGATGTCCCCAAGTATTAAGACAATCCATACATTAAATACAAAGTAATTGCCAATTATTGCAAAAATAACCCCAAAAGCTGTGAAATTACAATAATTTGACATTCAAAGTCAAGGTCATTTATGATTAAGATCATATTGAGTTTAATCTTCCCAGGACATTGTCCTTAAGATAGTTTTACCCAAGTATGAAGACAATCCATTCATAAATAACAAAGTTGTCACAAATTACAGCAATAAATCTAGCAAAATTCATTAATTTGACCTCCAAGGTCAATGTCACTGATTAGTGAAGGTCATAATCAATTTGGTCTACTTGAAGGTCTTCTGAACAGGATTGTTTTGTCTAAGTGTGACGACAATCCATTCATAAATAATAAAAGCCATTTACAGTGGACAATCAAACATTTGATTGTGTACATATGTGTCTGATGCAGTGATACCCTGTGTGGCAAAAATGACCTAGTCATACAACTGTCAGATTACCCTACTTGAAGGTATGTTCTTAAGGGTTCTTATGTCAAAGTATGGATAATATACATCCTTTAATAACAAGTTATAGACAAATATCAGCAAAATTTCAGAATTTGACCAAAATGAGTCAAATTCCTAACATTATGAACATGTAAACCTCCTGTCAAATTTTATTAAAATTGATGAAGTCAGAAGAGGTTTAGGAGAAGGAGTGCACACAAGATTCGTCTACAGAAAGTCAGACAGACACACTGCCAGATGGGAAAACAGCCTAAAGTCAGTATAGGCCCTGAGATCGCTCACCTGTATATAGGCCCCCCAACCCCCACCCCAACGTTGCAGGGCCAATTTAACCCAAGGGCTTTTATTTGCACAAATTTGGTAGACACCCATTAGAAGATGTTTCATGCTAAACATCTAAGCTCTAGCTCATTGGGCTTTTTAAAAGAAGATTTTTTTTAAAGTTTTTACTATACACATATAGTTAAAAACAATGACACCCCTAAGGCCGGGCCAGTTTTGACCCCAGGGCTTTTATTTGAACAAACTTTGTAGACACTTACTAGAAGATGTTTCATGCTTAATATCTAAACTCTAGCTATTTGGGTTTTTTCAAAGAAGATTTAAAGTTTTTGCTATACACATATAAAGAAAATCAATGACCCCCGGGGCGGGGCCAATTTTGACCCCAGGTCTTTTATTTGAACAAACTTTGTAGACACTCACTATAAGATGTTTCATGCTTAATATCTTAACTCTAGCTATTTGGGTTTTTTCAAAGAAGATTTTTTAAGTTTTTGTTATACACATATAAGGAAAATTAATGACCCCCGGGGCAGGGCCAATTTTGACCCCAGGGCTTTTATTTGAACAAACTTGGTAGACACTTATTAGAACATGTTTGATGCTAAATATCTTAGCCATAACTCTATGAGTTCTTTAAAAGAAGATTTTTTAAGTTTTTACTATATGCATATAGGGAAAATCAATGACCCCCCCGGGGCGGGGCCAATTTTGACCCCAGGGCTTTTATTTGAACAAACTTGGTAGACACTTATTAGAACATGTTTCATGCTAAATATCTTAGCTCTAACTCTTTTGGTTCTTTAAAAGAAGATTTTTTAAGTTTTTACTATATATATAGGGAAAATCAATGACCCCCTGGGGCGGGGCCAATTTTGACCCCAGGGCTTTTATTTGAACAAACTTGGTAGACACCTATTAGAACATGTTTGATGCTCAATATCTTAGCCATAGCTCTTTGAGTTCTTTAAAAGAAGATTTTTTAAGTTTTTAGTATATGCATATAGGGAAAATCAATGACCCCCCGGGGCGGGGCCAATTTTGACCCCAGGGCTTTTATTTGAACAAACTTGGTAGACACCCATTAGAACATGTTTCATGCTCAATATCTTAGCCATAGCTCTTTGAGTTCTTTAAAAGAAGATTTTTTAAGTTTTTACTATATGCATATAGGGAAAATCAATGACCCCCCGGGGCGGGGCCAATTTTGACCCCAGGGCTTTTATTTGAACAAACTTGGTAGACACCCATTAGAACATGTTTCATGCTAAATATCTTAGCTCTAGCTCTTTGGGTTCTTTAAAAGAAGATTTTTTAAGTTTTTACTATATGCATATAGGGAAAATCAATGACCCCCCGGGGCGGGGCCAATTTTGACCCCAGGGCTTTTATTTGAACAATCTTGGTAGACACTCACTAGAAGATGTTTCATGCCAAATATCTAAGCTCTAGCTCTTATGGTTTTTTAAAAGAAGATATTTAAAGTTTTTTCTTTAGGTAATGCCATGGCAACCAGAGTTCTGCATGGAATTAAATTCTTTGAACAATTTTTAAAGGTGACCACCAAAGGAACATTCCTGTGAAGTTTGGATGAAATTGGCTTAGTGGTTTATGAGGAGATGTCATTTAAAGTAAAAGTTTACGGACGGACGACGGACGGACGACGGGCGGACGCCGGACGAAAAGCGATCACAAAAGCTCACCCTGTCACTTTGTGACAGGTGAGCTAAAAACGTGCATTTTGTCAAGCAGAGATTATACTGCTATAAGTTCATTGATCAGTAATGGTTAATCCGTAGCAGTATGTATCTGTTGAGATAGAATAAATTACACAGAAAAACCAACTCAATGCAGTGACAGTCTAGCTACCTGATGTTTGTAAAAAGAATGGACCATACGGTTATTTAGCTACCTTGTTTAGGAGATGGTGTATAAACAAATGATGTAGTTGTTTTTCTTCTCGCCTCAGGAACTATAGAAATATATGATCCCTGATCACCAGTCTTGGAATATTGTATATCATAAGAAAGGATACATCTGAAAATTAAAAATATATCAAATAATAAATCATTTCAAAGCTTTAAAAGTATCGATGAAAGTTACATCAGTATCAGAATTACAATAATCCGTCTTATAGTTTCTTCCTTTCATAAGCAGTATGTCTATTGCAAAAAAATGTTCACATTCAGTTTAATATTTTCATATTCTGCCTGAAAAAGTTTTGGTGGAAGACCTCAAGTGTGAAGTATTTTAGGCATCATTGTGCATCTGAGAAGAATGCCTGACAATTTGTTAACAAGTTATGAGTTATTTTTGGTAATTTTCATAGATCTTCAGCACTGTTTGCAATGTGTAAATTACTTTCGTTCTTCACTTGACAATATTTTTATTCTTTGATACATTTTAAATTTTTTAATGAAAACTAGCATGAATCAGGAGGCATGCTGCTTTACATTAAAGCATTAGCTGTATACTGGAATGTAAATGTATTTTGACTCTTTGAGTAAATGAATACACCAATGAATCATGTATATATATGAAGTACACTTACCTTGAGTTGACACATTTATCTGACCATGTTATTAGAACTTGTCCAGCAGTTATGTTATGTACATTAACATTGTTTGGCTGAAATAAAGAAAACAAAAACACAAATTATCTACCCTTTTATATTACTCTATTTCAGTATCTACGAAAAACACTCAAAACATTTGAAATGTGTCCATAGGACACGGGTGCCCCCACACTCCACTGTTTGTTTCAATATCATGACTCTAGGTAAAATAATTTTCAGGCTACATGTTCCACAAGTTGGAAAATAATAATCTTTTACTAAATCATTCGGCAATGACTCTAGAAAAACTGGATAAATCCACAAGCAAAACCAGGTGCACAACTACACATGCTGACCATTTTCACTAAGTAAAGGGCAATAACTCAACAAGTACTAAAAACATCCACACAAAAATACCCAGGTGCACCTTTGAGTGCTGATCAACATTCCTGTAAAGTTTCATGACACAAGGTCAAATACTTTTTGAGCTACATGTGACACAAGTTGAAAATTGCAAATTTTTACTAAGTCAAGGGCAATAACTCTGAAAAAAACAACAGAATAAAGCCACAAGCAAAACCCAGGTGCACAACTTCACATGCTGAGTAACATTCTTGTAAAGTTTCCTGACTTTAGGTCAAATACTTTTTGACCTACATGCAACACAATTTGAACACAATTTGAAAATTGCAAATTTTTACTTAATCAAGGGCAATACCTTTACAAGTACCAAAAGCATCCACACGAAAATACCCAGGTGCACAACTTCACATGCTGTGCAACATTCCTGTAAAGTTTCATGACCATAGATCAAATACTTTTTGAGTTACGTGCAACAAAAAATGAAAACGGACGGACGGAGGGACGGACTGTTGGATGGACAAATGGACGCACAGACGAACGTACATCTAAATGCCCCCCATAGAGGGCTAACAAAACGCAATTTTAGCAGTGACCTACATTAATCAAATCTTATTTCAGCGATTTTGTTGAACATGTGTCTTTTTTTCTTTTTTTTCTACCGACAAGGAGAGACCACTCTTTTTGATAGAGATAAATTGTTTTCACAGCTAAAACTTTGTTTTCAATTTTACTGTTGATGTATTGCTTACAAGTATGTATGAGAATGTCACATTGATAACCTTATCTCACTTTATTGTTACTTGTGACACGTTATTGTTTAGATGCCTATGTTTGCAAGGTGTTAATTATCTTATCTTATCAGAAACTCGGTTAGAAGGCATAAATTAAAATACCTGTTTACTAAATGTGTCACTTGAGATTTTTCATTTACTTTAAAGAAGAAAAAAAAATAAAAATAAGACAATACACATTCAATTCTAAAAAACATAAATATCAAAAATTGATATTTGATAAATTGATTCGTAGGCATCACAATGTAAAATATGTATGACTTATCAGAAAAGAAAGTTCCAGAAACTCGTGAAATCCTATTATTAAAATTAAGTGAAAATTTAGCATTGTACGCGAATAAAGTAGAAATTAGATACTCGCAAAAAAAAACCCCCTGATATACAGTATATTATCTTATATTTAAGTATTTTACATCAGCATTTATTCTATTTTTTCTCATTGTATGGTGGACATGTCATGCTTTGACAATTGTGATAGAGATCTAGACCAACAAGAGTCATTTACCCTGTTATTTTATGGAATAAGACCTTAGGTTATCTCTGTGCATTATTTAAGGCACAAGGGGGGCACCTGAGTAGAACCACTGATGTTCCATAAACTAACTCAGGATAGCTTCCTCACATGAAAGAATTCAAAGTCTTGACTGGATTTTAACCTACAGCGATGAGGGGAAAATGTTTAAAGTCAACAGCCTACACCGTTCGTTCCCATACACTGACGTCCCTTCTTTCTTTATGTATGTTGTAATAAATTTTGTGATGACTAAAACAAGCATGCATATCACAATTGATGACACTTTTATTACACATATTCAAATGGTATTGACTGCTATTTTATTTCATAAATATCAATATATCCCCAATATTCAGCTTAAAAACGCCCAGATCTGAAGACTGGTGTAAAAATGCCCCATCCCCCTAAAAGTCATATCTTCTGTTAACCTATTACTAGTGAGAAGTTGACTTACAAACTTGTTTACACTTGTTTACAAACGACAAAGGATAAATAAAAGATAAAGAAAGGGGCCAATTAATTACATGCTCAACCACTTGTTATAACAGAAACGAATATGCCAATAATGATAAATAAAGAAAACTGATTTACATCTTAAGTAACATGTATACCTGATCTGGTTGATAGGATGGCTTTGAACACACATGTATTAACAGCATTGCTGGTTCCTGTAAAAACCATTTTCCCAAATACTGGTACCCGGTCTTCACTGAGATATTAAACAAAGCTCTCGCTCCCTGTAAAATCACATAGCATAAATCCATTATGACTTTATCAACAGTTTTCTTGTTGATGCAAAAACAGTTTGTATATAAAGCAAAAAACAATGCTTTTAAATAACCAATATCTATCAGTAGAAAAACAATTGTATCAACAACTGGGTGAAGAAAATAAAAATAAATATCACCCAATATACACATCTTGGCTAATTCTAGGATTGAACTGTGATGAACAAATAGTTTATCCTCACTTAGAGACCACCTTGAAAGAAATCAAAAATAAAAACCTGCTCAACAAAGGTCACTCTATTATTTTCCTTTTAAATAATGTTTTGTGTAAAATAAGCTGTGCTTGAGAAACGATTTTATCTAATGATGTCATGTCAACAACAAAAATAACCCTTCCAAATCTTGTCTATATAATAAGTATTTTACTACATATTTGACAGGTTACAATTGGTATGTTCAGTATGTAAACTTATTTTTACAAATATTACCTCAAGTGCTCTCATGGCGTTCATCTGTTCTAAAGTAGGATAATCAGGTTTATCATACTGGTTCCATACTCTATAAGGATTACCAAATGTGTTATCCAGGATCCAGCTCACCAGTACTAAATCTGATACAAAAACAATTGAGAGAAAAATTTAAAAAAAAAGTTGGAGCACCACACTAAATACCATTGTCCGGTATATACTTGACAAGGCGCTTGAGTGATTAAATGCTTAAATATCGCCTTTTACTCACCGAAATGTACCTTAGATGTCTAATTTATCTCCTCATACAGATTTGTATACAAAAATGAATAAAAATGTAAAAATCTGCAAAAAAAGGTGATATTTTTCTACACTGTGATCATGATTTCTGCATGATTTCATAGAGGTACTGCTCCAACACAGTATTAAGTTAAATCCCAAACAACACTACACAGGTTAAAATTTCTTGGATTAGCATTTAAGTTTACCAATATTTTAGTCAAATACAGGCTGGCAGTTACCTGAAGAACTTCCTGGATTTTGCACCAGTTCTTATTGTGGGTGATCAATAGTCCAGTGGTAAGACAGACTGGTAAAAGTATAGAGACCTGACCTAACTAGGCATAATGAAATGACTTCTCTATTTAGACAACTAAAATAAAGGTGCATAATTGTCTTGTAGATTTCCTAACATTTTTACAAGTGTAATGGCTCTAAAAACATTTTGCTAACAGCTGTGCTAACAGCTGAAAGTTTTTTTTAAATTTTCATCTATTCTACTACAAATGTCAAAATGAAAGCATTTCAAATCAATGGCTTTTTACCACTTGAGTAAGAAATAGAATACACCACTTCCAACTACCTAGCATTATAGGGACCTCTCAGTAAGTCAAAATGAACCAACCTCAGGTGATTCTTTGAAGTGCAATGATTATCATTAACAATTATGTGACAAAAATTCTATGTTAAAATTGAGCATAACTTGAAAATTATAGCTTTCACAATTATGCCCCTTGTATAATAACTGCATCTTGTTCATGTAAAGTATTTCATGTTTTATAACTTTTAAAATATTGGGTAACATTTTAATTTTAGCAGGACCATGATGCATACATGTGACAAATGAAAAGGGCCAAATCTGGATTTTCAGCTGGATTTTGAGGCTCAAAACTGGATTTTTTTATCGACTCGAATTTCAGTGCGTGTTTGGCACATTTGGTTCAAAGAATCTATATTACCCTCAAAATCATTAAATGATAATACTTTTTATGATTTTTTTGTTGATCAATATTAATTTATTTCACCAAAAAAATAAATAAATAGATAAATAAATAAGTGTAGTCATACTGGCTATTTCTAAAACAGTCACACTTTCACATTTCATTATTTTCAGTTTGAAGAATTATAATGTCTTTTCAGTCATTCAATAATTAAACACAAGCTATTTGAAAACGTGCAACAACTATTCATAAACATAAGACTATGACAGTTAAATAACGTAACATAAGTAAAAGACTCAAAATAAATGCAAGAATCGTTCCGTTAATTAAATCCATATTTTTGCCTCGATGATTGCGTAATTCCTAAACAAAACAAAAAATTACCCACTCACTAAAAATAGGTTAATTAGACATCTCAAACAGGTTTTGAATGATCCACTTTAAATGATTCTGCTCCCCTTTTATCTTTATCAGTGCGGCACTAATCAAAGAAAATCAAAGGTTGACCCGAATTCATACATGTAAATTTACAGGGTAGTTTTGATGACGTAGCGTGTAATACCTACTGCCAAATTACAAAAGAGGTCAATTGACTGACACACGACACGTGATAAGTTAAACATGTGAGAATAACTTTGGGTATTGGAACTGTTTATTACGTCACCTTGCTGTCAACATTTAATCAACATTTAATCCGCTATAATTTAGGATATGGACAGATAACAATCAATGCCCGGAGGCACGGTTTACATTTTAGATACAGGTGCTGTGTTTGATTTTTTTTATGTTGATTTTTTTTTAAATATCGGGAATTCAAGCTGTAATATCGGGAATCGGGATCAGTGTTGAAATATCGGGATTTTTTTAAATCCCACCGGGATGTCACATGTATGATGATGCAGCCATTATATGAGCCGCGTCACAACAAAACCAACATAGTGCGTTTGCGACTAGCATGGATCCAGACCAGACTCCACATCCGCGCAGTCTGATCATGATCCATGCTGTTCGCTAACCAACCCTATTACAAGTAGAGAAACTGATAGCGAACAGCATGGATCCTGATCAGACTGCGCGGATGCGGAGGCTGGTCTGGATCCATGCTGGTCGCAAACGCACTATGTTGGTTTTGTCATGACGCGGCTCATTATTATTATAAGCTCATCTTTGTATTATTATAAGCTCATCTTTGAAGCAGACAAGCTAAATATGGACATGACGATGTATACATGTACTTTAACATAAAATCCTTTAGCTGCCATGTAAACACTGTCTTCCTTATTAACTGTCATATTGTATCTTTTTCTTTCTAAATTTACAATCATTACATATATAATGGGTTGCTATGATACCTTGTGAGTCTGGTGGATTAATGTCCATATAAACGTCTACATGTGTTCCTGCATTCTGTGGTCCTGTGTCATTACTGTAGTAAATCAAGGACGCTACTTGCCAGCTGAAATATTTCAAGATTTGGTTTAAAATAATAACTTGTTTCGAGGCTGAACTTAAAAATACTTATTTCATTTGCATATAAATCCATACGATTATTTTCAATGAAAGAAAAAACATCATGTACATGTAATACAGATTTTTGACCTGATAAATCTATTGGTAAAACCAAAAGTTTAATGTGTTTTGTGTTTTGTTTTTTTTTAGAAATTTGAGTGGTTTCCGGTTTTTCAGTGTTATCCGATGCTTTCCCATATTACTATGCACCTAAATATATGAACATACATATACTTAAAGATCTTTTTATTTTCTGTATTTCAAAAGTTTCCTTTATTCCACACTATGTACTGCCCAAGTTGTTATATGTCACAAATGTGTATTGAATTTTCATTGCCATAGATTCCTATCAGCTAAAGTGAACAGAACACCTGGTTAAATAGTTTTGCATCTTGATAATAAATTGGTAAAAGACAATTTATATAGATTGTTTGTTTACCTGTCAGAAGTGCCTTTTATATCTGGATAATGTACACTTGATAAAACACCTAGTTCTGAAGCATCTGATATTTGTTTACCACTGTCATCTACAAACAGGTAAATTTTGTATAAAAAGAAAACAACATTAGTAATTACTTTTTACAATATATGTCATATGGCGCCTAACCAGCTTTACTAGTGGAGGAAGAGCTAAGGTGTCCTTCCATGCATTATTTCAGGCACAAACAGGCATCTGAGTAGAACCACCTAAATTCCGTAAGTTTGCTGAATAGCTTCCTCACATGAAAGAATCCAAAACCCTTGTCAAGATTCAAACCTAAAGTGGTGAAGAGCAAGTGGTTTAAAGTTAATGACCTCAATCACTTGGTCACAGATGCCCCTTCAATGGATTACAGGATCTGGGGAAATGCAGACTGCAAAAGCATAATAATATTATTATATAACACCCGAGAAGTCTTAAAAAAAAGTTTGAACAAGCAAATTCGTTGAATTTATATCCCCCGCCGAGTACTGGTTATTATTAACACAACAACTGAAGACATAAGGCTTTATTTATATATTAATCATGGCATAAACAGTAATATTCTTTGAACTTGATAAATATTCAGGGCAATAACAGAGCCATAACTTTGTGTTAAATAGTAAAATCTGGAAATGCCAATGAGATGTATGCATACTACATAACTAATCAAGGGCCATTAATCTGAGTTATAAGTATCTGACTGGAACAAGGCGACTATATGCACATCTCCTCTTAGTATCCCATAAAGTTTCATTGAATTCCAGCCAGTAGTAGCAGAGAAGTAGCGAGGAAACAAATAATTTTCTATATGGATACTGCATAACTAATCAAGGGCCATAACTCTGAGTTAAAGTGTCTGACCCAAACAAGCCGACGATATGCGCATCTCCTCTTGGTATTGAAGGTTCCCATAAAGTTTCGTTGAATTCCAGCCAGTAGTTGCAGAGAAGTAGTGCGGAAACGATTTTTACTCAATATGCATACTACATAACAAATCAAGGGCCATAACTCTGAGTTAAAGTGTCTGACCCGAACAAGCCGACAATATGCACATCTCCTCTTGATATTGATGATTCCCATAAAAATTCGTTGAATTCCAGCCAGTAGTTGCAGAGAACTACTCCGGAAACGATTTTTACTCCATATGCATACTGCATAACAAATCAAGGGCCATAACTCTGAGTTAAAGTGTCTGACCGGAACATGCCGACGATATGCGCATCTCCTCTTGATATTGATGATTCCCATAAAGTTTCATTGAATTCCAGCCAGTAGTTGCAGAGAACTACTCCGGAAACGATTTTTACTCTATATGTCTTATAAAGCATTTAGAATGCCTTGAATGGCCCTTTTTGAATTACCTTAAGCAATATTAATTGCATGCAGTTAAGCTAGGTGCACTGTAATGTTTTCTTGTCACAAAATTTCTTACATCGGCTTATATCTTAATGAATCAGTCATTTCAAGAACCTTATTTTTCATGATTTTCGTTTTTCAATAGTTTGAATTCAACTATTGATAATCGGAATTAAGTACAAAGTGATAAAGGATGAGTGACTGTAAATAATCTAATGCCCAAGATTTTGAAAAAATAACGTTCAGGAAATAACTGTTTTGCTAGGATATTAACCGATGGCAGAATTTTTTGGTGGGAAAGCATTACAGTAAAACTACCTTAAATACCTGATACAGTTGTTTGTAGCTGTTTTTCTCCGAGGACAGATAACAAACCCATTGCTGAGAACACAGGTTTCTGAAAGAAATGTGTATGAGGAGGGTTGGTTGTATTAATTTGAAACCGTGCCAACAAAGTACGCTGACTAAATTGATGCGGGTACCAGCTCAGGAAGCCATTGTCATTGCTTAGCAACGTGTAGTTCTTGATTGCAGGTGATTGATTGGAAATGAACTGTTTCTGATGTTGAACTATTATCTGAAATGGAACATAAAATGAATGTAGCTTTCCAACACAGTCAAAAAAAGTATAAGTATCATTCGTTATATAGAGGATATTAAATGAGCGTAATACTAATGAGTTAATAAATCATTTAATTCTCAATTTAATTAACGAGTTGATAAAATTATATTATGCGAGCCTCTGATTTGTTCAATAAATTCATTATTAAACTTTCACAAATTTAATATTATATTTATCACAAACCCAAAATAAAGACCGTTCGAAGGGAAAAAGAACCATTTTTCATTGACGCGCCTATAGTACAACGCTATCACTAAGCATGTCTTAACGCTATGTTTATATAACGAAAATGACATCACGTCATAATACATGCACTACTGTGCAATACCATTTTTACAGTAAGAAAAAGCGGCACGGGTGTGTGATAAAACAGAATCAAGAACACACACACATAAGCTTGTAAATGGTTTTAAATACATGTATATCAACTACCGGGTAAATACAAATAAACTATAGTTGTTTTCTTTCACAAAACCTACCACTTACAGTCAGGTGTCAAGAACATGTAATAAGTTCATACTTCATAAGCAATGAATATGTAATGTATTACTGTTTAATGTGAATGTAACAAGAGCTGTCAGTAGTGCTCAACTATTCTCAGTGCTTGATACTAAGTTGATAGTATAACAAGAGCCTGGATAATGTAGAATTTTCAAAGTTCAAAAAAGGGCCATAAGTCTGTCAAAATCCATGTCAGAGTTATGGGCCTTGAAAAGTGAGATTCTATTACGCTTTCATATAAGTGAGTGAAGTGTCAAACCATTTCCTTCTGAAGTTTTAGAGATATTATCTTCAATGCAAAAACTGAACCAAAGTCTGACTACGGCGCAAAGGTGATTACAATAGTTCTCCATACCGGTATTCTTCAAATAGTCAGGCTAAAAATGTTACATTTACAAATTTTTCAATTTCTGACCTTAGCAACCATGGCAGCATATGTATTATCAGCCCTCCATTCTTCATCTTTTGACCACCCTACTAATGGATCAGCTTCACTAAAAACAAAAACACAATATTTTCTATGTAATTTACAAAAATTCATAAAAGAATTCTTATAAAACATGTTTAATAAAATATATTCTGCCAATTTTTTAAATGTCTCACTTTCTGATGGAGATAATTGCCATCTAGGTTTAAATGCTGCATTTATTTTTACTACTATGGTACAGACACTTTATGGAGATGAGCTGCTGCATTTCACAGAAGAAGAAGTAAAAATTTCCTTTCCCAATTACCTAACTCATTTTGTTAAATTATGGTGTAACTATAAAGCTATACTACATGTAATTGGAATATCAGTCACCCTTTTGTATACTATTTAAGACATGGTACATGTATTATACATGAAGTATAGCCCCTTAACGAATTTGTATTTTTTTAATTATTTTTTTTTCCTGCATTTTGTATCAACAGTATATTGTTTCTGGACATAAATGCAAAATATTAAGTTCTAATAAATACAATGTTACATATAGTCGGCACCACTTTTGCTTATAATATAGGTCTCACTGTATATACATATACTTACTCATTATAGAATGGTTTGCTGGCTAGGGAAGGATATCTCTTGGCAATGTCTTCCATTAAAGTTATTTCATCATCTAATATCTTCTGAGATGACCCACTGCCCTGTATATGAATAAAACAAAACATTAACTACTTGTTTAACATATAAATAAATCAATTGCAGATAAAATAGCTCAACAATTAGCATGCATATTGGAAGGGGATTGGAAAAACACATGCATCTTTTACCATAAAACTGAGATAACTTATAGCAAGTGAATTAAATGGCCATGTCTCTTTAAGACAGCACACTCAACAATAAGGAAAGGGCAAAACTCTGTATAAAGGTAACTTAGTTATATGGGACTTGTGCCTATCATGTTAGAAAATTAAAGAGAACAAACATGTGAAATTTCAACACATTCCCTTCAGTATTTTTTGGAGAATGATACCAACTTGCATGCAAAAACTAAACCAAAGTCTGGCTGCTATAAAGTGAGTACAATAGCTCTCCTATTTTCAAATAGTCAATCTGATACTGTACACAAATACTAGTTTGATTATGACATAACATTTCATATTCATTGATAATTTTTCTACTAATTATAAAATTAGTAAATACATCTCAACCCTTTACCTAATTAGATTCATATCAAGCTGAAACTGACAACTTCAATATATGAGCCGCGTCACGATAAAACCAACATAATGGGTTTGCGGCCAGCATGGATCCAGACCAGCCTGCGCATACGCACAGTCTGATCAGGATCCATGCTGTTCGCTTACAGACCCTATAACAAGTAAAGAAACTGATAGCGAACAGCATGGATCCTGATCAGACTGCGCAGATGCGCTGGCTGGTCTGGATCCATGCTGGTTGCAAATCCATTATGTTGGTTTTGTCATGACGTGGCTCATTATTTAAATACAGCTAAAACTGATATCCATTTTTAAGTTGTAATAGAAAATACCCCACCTTTCTATGGAATGATATGAAGTCAATCCGGACTCCCTTTTCTCCAGTGAAATAATTAATTCCATTCACCACATGATCTAGTAACGCATCAGAGTATTTGGACCTTTTACATGCATCTCCGGGGCCTCCGAACCGAAGGGATTCAGACACGGCCCTCAAGCCTTCTGAGCATGCATCATAGTAGTTCAGAAAACCTAAAATAAATGTAAAATTAGTGAGACATAAACATGACAATTTCCTTACAGGGCCTTTTTTCTTTCTACAAAAATATCATATTATTTTTCTCAAAATTAGGGGCAGGGCTGCTTCCCCAGCCTGTGAAAAGACACCCTGCCAAATTATCACATTATATCTTTTATTCATCGGATTATCACAATGTTTATACAGTTTTATATGCATGGCTCCTTTTAGTTTGTGAATATATATCTTTTTTTTTCTGTAAAATAGGAAGTTTAATTTGTTATAGAGATTCATGACAGGTTATATGGCCATATATAAATCATGGTTGTTTGCAATATACAGTTTGTAACTCTAACCTAGGGGCTCAGGTTATATACTAGTATGCAAATAATCATGTATATAGAACCATTTAACCTGTCAGGAAACTTTATAACTAATGATATATAATGGACCTGAATAAGAAACCTCTTCAATCAGTCTTTTAACAAGTCATTTTTTGTTTCTTCAAATATTTCAAATATCTATTAAAGGAACTCCACTGAGGTCTGAATGCCTAAAAACATAAAATATTTATTTCTTACATAGATCAACTTGGACAATTAAAACAGACCAATATGTAAACAATAACACAGAAAATCATATTTTTGTGCCTTTCTTACCTATTTTTAAGTTAAAAGCATTTAAATAAACACTTTTCTTTTTGGATCATAATTCACAATTAAAATACTTATTCTGGGAAAATTAAGTGAGGAAATTATCTGACATTGCACACACAAATTATTGGTCCTAGCCTAGATCAAATGGGAAATAAATCTCAAAAATATAGTTTCCAGTCCTGACAAGATGAAAAACCTGGGTACAGTCCCTTTAAACACACAAAGAAGTATAAAATGAAAAGAAACCCAAGTATATAATGAGAAGAAATCCAAATCTTGTTATTTAACAGGAAAATAGACTGAGGAAATGAATTTATATAAGTCTTGGACTTGTTTTCAAATATTCCTCTTCCGAATTAAATTAAGTTATAAACAATGTCTTCTAGTTGTAATGTATATCTATGTTTGAAAATTTTGGAGATTAATATTGTTTAAAGTCATAGAACTATCTCATTATTCAAGTTAACAACAGTATTATAACCTTGCACAGTCATATTAACAGCATCAAAGTCATGACAATCAGGTTCATTCCAAGTCTCAAAGTTCCAGTCCATCACAGAGCTTAGTCCATACTGGTCTGTAAATAAAATGATTGACAAATAAAATAAGCATGTATGTATGAATATAATCTTATAAAATTTTCAAAAGCATTTATACGCATTACTCTGGGTTTAAAATAAGGAACCAAAAAATCTTACTTGTGGAGGAAGACTTCAGGTGCTCTTTAGTATGTTAATTTCTGAATAAAATATGCACAAGAAGTAAAACCACAAATCAACCATGTCCCTGTGTCAGTGTCCAAGAGAATAAATGTACTTTGCAAACTGTATGCTATAGTTTCTCATATCTAGCATTCTTCCAAATTTAATTAAAAAATTTTGAAGAGTAAAAATTAATTTAAAGGGTAAAAACTAATTTATATATTATTATTATCTCAAATTAAAAGAGTAAATTAAAAATGATCACACATATCATAGAGTGACCTTCTCCTTACCTACATATCTTTGTGCTGTCTGGGTAACAAGACTTTTCCAGTTCATCAACATGGCTTTATCTTCAAAGTTTGTGAACATATTAGATGGATTACCCATCAGTTCAAACCCAGGTTGGAGTCCATTATTGTACAGTATATCTATCAGATTGTCAAGATAGGTGAAATTGTACACAGGGGGTTTAAATGGCTCACTGCTGTTAATGGGAAAACAAAATAGCTTTGATTAAAAAAGATACATGAAAGTATGAAGAGGAGCAGTGACCTTGTGGCTAAAGTGTCTAATTGTCAAACCCTAGGATAATGTGTCATGTTTTCCGCATATGACCTCAGTTATGGTATGGTTTTGGAAACAGGATTGGAAGTAGTTTATTAGTATTGTACAATGATGGGCAGATGATTGCTCTTTTTTGTCAGAAATTTGCTTCAAGCATTGTAAAAACAATTTTGAAATTCATGAGACAATTATCATGGAACGCAGTGATACATTATTGACGTACAATGCACTTAAACATTTGCTATGTCTGCCTTGAGGTTATATGGAGACCTTAATAACTTGTTTTATGTATGATGCAAACAAATTTACTAATCACATTGCTTTTTTGTTGAAATGGCTCAAGGATGCTCACTTGAAAGCACATAAAATATTTAGAATACATTGAAAATAGATATGCGCTGATAATACAGAGTTCTAGTATACGCATATACAACAGGAGTTAGAATGTTTGGCTTAAACTCTTAAGACTGGTTTAGGCGTGGGGAAATGTTGCTCTCCAAAAATCTAAATATATGTCGGTTTATGATGTTTATTAAAAGGAACCAATCAAAACATATATCAGCAGCTTACATACTCCACAAGACTTGTTGGTAAAGTTATTTTTTGTTGAGTAGTGCAAAGTGATCATAGAATACAAAAATCCCTCAATACTGGGAGTAAAAACTGCATAGTTCTTTTATTTGCAAGGTGTAAAAATGCACCATTACACTGCACTGCAATTTTTAAAGTTTCACCATTTTGTTAAAGTTTCATCAATTTTTTTAAAGTTTCATCCAAAAAATCTAACAGTTATTCTAGTGTTGAGAAACTGGAAATTATAAAACTTATTTTTTCCTGAGTTCTGTCTGAAATCTCACATTCTGTAATGGTTTCTGACCAATCAAATACAGTAAATTCTCTCTATTAAGACCACTTACGGGACTGACTCAAAGTGGTCTTAATAGTGAATTGGTCTTAATAGTGAATAAGTCACTTTAATAGCTGACGAAGTCCAACTTAACTTAATGTATACCTTGTATAGTTTTATGCACATGGTAAATGTACTTAATTAAATGAGTAAAAAGAAACACATATTTTTTAAACAAAAAACATCTTTAATGCATGATAATTTGATACATCATTAATATTATGAAAATATTAATTTACGGCTAGTGTGTTAAGTCTCCCCTTTAGAAGAAAAATATGAGGTATTAAATATAGTTATAACTCTCATTATGATTTATACATTAATTACATATCGAAATAAAGCACACATGAACTGATAATTTGGTGTAATTATCAATTTTTACCATACTTGCTATAAATTGTGATGCACAACAAACAATTTTAAATGCTATTTACCTGTTTATTACATCCTAATTACGCTGACAAATTAATCGTTTCTCACACCATAGCTGCTTAGATTAATTAGCCAGAAGTGGTTTAAACTGATCATGTTGACGCTTGAATACTAAAGATACATTGTAAAGCAAGTGTCTTATCAATCGATACATATTAATGACCCCATTTGACCCGGTGTATTTGTTTACGCCAGAGGGAAGATTACGACAATTAATTGGGGGCAATAAACACCAAGTGATGTCTGGCAATTATGTTGCATGGTCGTAATACAGGTTAATGTTTTGATAAGAAATACATACAAATGTCTGACAGAAGTGGTCGTTATGCCGGATTAGAGACGTGGTCGGTACACTGGTCATTTTTCTCAATGAATAAAGAAGGCAAATATTTTGTACTCTTAAAAAGTGCCCGTAATAACGGCGTGGTCCTATTTGTGGCATGGTCGTTAGGTGGCATTTTACTGTACTTAAAATCAGAGTCTGACCATACAAAATTCTTTATAACTGTGAACTCTAGATTTGTAACAGTCAAGTGTCACAAAATTAATTCTGCGAAACTCGTACAGAAATAATAAAGCAAGCTCATTATACGCACCTGATGACGTTAACAAGATCAAACAACCAGTGGATCCGAACTTGCTTGATACCACTATGCGGCACTGTGCCAATCAGCGCTATATTCTGCACCATGTCCGGACTAAGGTCAAATTTATAAGCATCCTCATGAGGAAGAGGTGGACTAAAAACACAACAGGTTATTTATTATTATCTTATGATTGTTTTCTTAAACAAAGCAGCAATCAATAATATTGAATAATAAATTTTCATCCTTAAATGCTCCATGCTTCTTTTATATATCTTAAAGCCCCTAAGAGATTTTCATTTTTTTTTCTATTATATCGAAATGTTATTGTCACTGGACATCAAATGTAAATGATTTAGTTCTGATAAGCACAATGTTTACAAATAAACCCCTTTCAAAGTCTATGTCTTTTCATGCTTTGAGTACTTTGATATGGAAACTGGAAGTTGCCCTTAACGTAAGGTGACACGTTATACCAAAAATAGATAACAATATTTTCAGCTATACAGAATCATTCGTAAAATTTCATTGACCTCCTTTTATCTCAGACTACAAATAAGTGTGTGAAGATACCGTCTTCTATCTTAAGTTATTAATGAGATAAGATATAACATTAAGTTACACTAAGTTGTTACACCAATGATGACACTGACACCAACATCCAGATGAATATGACAGCCCCATTATTTTCAATTAGTTGAGATAAAAATTAAAATTTTAATACCAAAACCCAGTAGACTCCCAGAAATGCTTTAGTGGTCCGACTTGAACAGATGTGTTGACTACGACTTTCACACCACATCCTGGCTGTGCAATGATCAAGACATTTGCTAGCATGGTCAATATGTGAAACCTCATTTCTTTCTCTGCAATCAAATAAATATCATTAAACAGATACATTGTTTAATACCAAACAACTACGATCATGTCTATAATTGTATGTACATTCTAACACAGATTAGCCTTTGCGCATCCCACTATTTCTTGCAATAAGATTTGAAAATTTCCAACAATCTATTTAGCATAAACTGCCCTCAATAGTTTTTATTCTTGACCATTTATTAAAACGTCATGTTTTTGGATTAACACTGCATTTGCCTTCCAAAAGTTAATTTAGACAGGAATAAGGAAGAATCAAACATTTATTACAGTGGCTCTTACATAGCTTATTTTGATCAATTTAAATTGTTTTCATATTAGATTCAAACTTATACAAAATCCCCAAAATCTTTCAAATCTATTTTAAGTTAAAACAATAACCCATCTGATGATACAAAGTCCCTAAATCTTGTAAGTTAACCCATCACATGATACAATATGTGGTGAATTATTCAAAATACCAGTCGGTAAAAGAGACATTACAATCATTTGGCCAGGCGTTATCTTTTTAAAATTATAATTAAAGCTACAATGTATTTTTATCTTCCAAAACTTTATAGTTTTTATATGCCACACTTTTAATATTGTTTTCTTCTATCTGTTGCGACATTGTCACAGTAGTGTTGTCTTGTCACAGTATAAAAACTGTACCCTGAAGACCTTAATCTAAATGTTAATCAGTGTAAACACTAAAACAGGTAAATTTATACAACATCATCATTACAATACACGATTTATTTCAATAAATTTTTGTGATCGAAGTACTTTACAATGTCATTCCGGTCTTAACACTGGTTTGACTCACTCTAAGACTTATTTCCAAAACAACACAACATTTAGCACTTAAACAGAAATACCCACCTTTTGTATTAGATCTACACTAAAGTTCTAATTTATCACATGAGTAAACGCATATATTGATAAAAGGGAAGTAACTATGAATAAACAAATGGCGCTAAATATAAAAAGGGAGCTAATCTCTACCATCGTCTTTCGCCTGCGAGGTCCCGTGCACTTGGTACGCTTAAGACTGGATTTGGGGCATCTTTCTGTATCTGTATCTTTGCACTATCCTCCAAATCTAAACTGTCTTGTACTCTTCTGGAGGACGCGCCCACAAGGGAAACCGGTGACGAGATAAGAAAACTCAGATACCCACACTACCGGCATTTCTGCTGAGGTAGGTTCATAAGTTATCAGTTCCCCGGAACGGTCTGGTGGACTGGACTATGCTGTGGCTTACTGCCATGATCCGAAGGCGAAACTTCCGACACCGCCAGCACCACCACCACCCCCAGTGAAAGTTCTTTCAAATAATTATTGAAATGTATAGACCATATTTCCATAGAAATGGTCATCTTGCATTTCGCGCGTGTGCATTCTTCGTAGCGCATAAAAGCAACCAAGAAAGAATATATTATATCAGCACGCAAATGTTCTACACCATATTAAATCTGAAAGATAAGCCATTTATTTACAGTATAGTTTATTTTGATAACCGTTTAAGGCGTAGAAGGTTTGCTATTGGCATTTTAAAGCCTAAATCAAAGGTACTAGTGGCATTAATTTGCCCTAAATGTGTTTAACCTTCTTATTTATGCAATAAAATATCCATTTATTAAAAAAATACTGTTATATTGTTATAGACTAATAAACTCAGTGATTAAAAAAACGCATGCACAAGTCCTACATGTACATGTTTATGGTAGGTAGTTGGTAATTCGAATATCCAACTACCAACTAACTACCAAATTGAGTAGCTGGTCGTAATTCTCAACTATTTAACAGCTTGTATATCAATCAACTATCACGAAATGTTCGAATTCATCATACATTTTTAAACACGGAGTAATATTAAGGAGGGACCTTGCTGGTTATTCGCGCGTATCTCGTGTCAAACTCATTAGGAAAGATACACATAACACACATAACATCGGAAGCAAAGCACAAAACCATCTTTTATAAACTAAACTTCTTGTAGTATGGACCGGAATAAAAGTCACCTACCTGTCTTCTCCACAAATAATCCTCCATCGTAAAAATCTATTCTGTAACACGTTCCCTATGGTACATACACTAGCGGTTTTCGGTCCTCATTTTCTGTTGTTTATTTTACGTGTCTTATTGTCTTAAGATGATATTTTTGTGTCTTCCGATGTAACATTCATGCATTTGTTTTCCTTGTGGTGATCCTTGTGGTGAGTGCCTAACGTTAAAGTCTACCTTGTGACGTCACATTATTTGGTCCGTTTATCCGTCATTATTATAGTGGAGAAGCGGGGTATTTTCTGTCTCGGAATAGTCTTTTTGTCCGTATTGTTATGTTATTTCTGTTCTTTTTGTGCTGTCCTATTAAGTTATATTTTGAGCAGAACAGAACATTTCTTTTTTGTTTAAGTTCCATGAGGAACTTGTCACTGATTTAAATTTGGTGATATGATCATTATCACTGCAATATAGATCAAAGCGCTGAAAGCACTGAATGCGACTTATAACACAAGTTAAACAAATAAAAGAATGCGACATGGCATTGTGTCATAATTAATTATTGTCTTGTACATCTCTACAGTTATGTAATTTAAAGGCCTCCCTGAAGGTACTATATTTTATGCTGTAATGTTATTTTCATACACACATTTGCATTTTAACCGCAGATTCTGTTCAACTTGAATGTTTACAACTTTAATATATTAACTTACTTACTTACTTAGTAAAAGTCAGCACATGATATAGAACAGATAATTTTACTTTGTTTTGCCTTTTCATACCCACCATAACTATGTACGGTATAACTTTTAAAGTATACCGTAAATGGATATTTCATTGGTCAGTTACATTAGATAAACTTTAAGTTAAGTGTTGAGACTTTAGACTTTCTAATTTGTACGTCCTAATATATGTAACTATAGCATAAACATTTATGACACTGTAATTTTTATGTATATAATCCTGATCATTGTCGGATACCCAAGGCCGAACCCGTCGGATACCCACGGCCGAACCATTAACATTGATCAGCTGTGGGATTTTTTGCCGGTATCCGGTCGTTAAGAGGTGTGTCAAAGACAGCTATTTCAATGGTTGCCTCACGATTTCATGGGGTAATTGAAACCAATCAAAACGCCCGTTCTATACGATGTTCTCTGAAACGTTAATACTAGAAAAAATATCACAATAGTTGTCTCTGCTTGTGGAAGAATTGAGTTGGCGATAGTTTTGCATATTATCATAATTATTATATTGGCAAGGCACGTGAAAAAGGCGCTGCCATTTTGTTTCTGATAATTATTGTTTACTCTCGCTGTTGAAGAATTTAAATTTTGTTAAACACGATTTCATTGGTCGGTATTTTGCGCACATGCTGTTTTATATCGACGCAAATTGAGCTATTTTACCCACGGTTGATTACATGTTATAATACATGTTAATCATCTGTGGTGTATCCGACGATGAATTTTGATATTTAACACAGAAAAGCCTACTCGAGCAATCCTTGCTTAATTATTGTGTTTATTATACCGGAATCAATATTTAGTGTAAATTGTGAATGACGACAAAGATCGATGATTAATATTGCCATAATATTGATGGCTTTTGTAAATAATAATAAAAATAAAAATAATACTAATATATTAATTTTATTATTATTATTATTATTGGCGTCCGCGCCGAAGCGCGCGACGCCCCTTACAGTGTGGCAATACCACGTGACATTGACGTCATTTTCGGCATCATTTCCAAGACAAATGTTGCTCGATTCGGAAAAGAAAATAGCCATAAATATTTTATTTCTGTACCAATTTCTTTGAGATATGCACCAGTCTACGGGGACAAATATAAGCTTTCCATAGATTATTGGATCTTCGTCAGTTTATAAGCCGTTTTATCAAACACTTTGCATAACCTTGGAAGTTGCTTGTATTAGAGCGGGCTTCAGTTGCAAGCTATTGCGTTTTCTGGCGTTATCTGGTTGGTCTACGCCATGATTAAAAAGTCAGGTTTACATCAACCGGGAGTACGGAAGGCAAAACTCTACCTAAATATGTTCATATTTTTATTATGAATGACATAAATCTTACATTTTTCTTCAATTGTCAATTCTGGCACCAGTTCCAAGTCGAAAAAAAGGACAACAGTTTAAAGCAGATTTTAGATTCCGTTGCAAATGCCTACCGTTCTCTTTCTATAATTATGTTAACCATGAAAAACATTTTATTTACTACACGATCTACATAAACACAAATGAATATTTAAATGATTTTTACTCGCTGCGCTATAAGTGATTTTAAAAGTCGTAAAATTGTTGTCTGTATTTGTAAAGAAATTGATTTGCTCTTTAATCATTGTTCTTTCACGGTAATGATTATGAAAAATCTATTTGTGTCATGTAGCAATACTAAACGTGGAATAGAAAACAGAAAACCCTAAATATCGCCCAAAACGGCAAAATTGAAAATGTTTTAGGCTCGGATTGACTTAGCTAGCCTGTCCAATGAACGTGCACATTGATCAGGTATGCTGTGAAAAGGGTTACGCCTCAACGCGGCAATTTTAAATTCAAAGGTTATTCTTTTGTAAAGAGCTATTTATACGTATAACCATATATATTTATAAAGAACCTGTAGCAATGTTTTAGTATGATAGATTCAGCTTTTTAACACTTTTTACATCCTGTTTTCATACCCACGGTAACCGTTTTTCGTGAAGTTAACTTAAGAACACTATTAAACACTATCTATTTTATAATTGCATTAAACTGCATATCTGACAAATTTAGTTAATTATATCAGTCAACTCAGCCTTATCAGAGAGCTCACCAATATACATTGTAAAGAGAGGAAGGGAACGGAATATTTACGGTTTGAAAACATTTAAATCGAGTAGAACCTTTTAACAATAATGTCTCTTTCAACTGAATAAAAACGATAGGGCTATTTGGGACTATTTCTTATCGATGTGGTCATTGGCTGTAAATGCATGGATTATTGCACGCGGCATGACCTGCAGATGTCCTCAACAGGATTTTTGTAGCATTTTAAGATTTAAAAAAGGACCACACATTAAAATCTAAAACATGATCAACATGACGCATATACAAAAATATGTAAATAAAGAAGTAAGTCATTTGACAGTTGAAGGATAAAAATTGAATATACTCTTCAAATGTAATCGTAATTTTACTAAGCTTATGTTAGCTATCAATTATTCAATGGACGCATCAGTGTCATATGGACCCCAGTCATAGATCTTGCCGATGTTGCTATTACAGATGTTAATGTAAATATTTATATATTTATTGATTATCATTGTTATTTCCGTCTTTTTCAAGAAATTTGACTGTGATCGATGGCTGTTGGTTTGTAAAATCATTGATCTGTTTGATATTTTCTACTTTGTTTACTCCACATGGCGTCCGTTCTCGTTCTTATTCATGGCTATGTTGGGTCTTTTTGATAAATAGAGAATCATAAGTGATGCAACTAAGTAACAATACTATCAGATTTACACGGCAAAGTTCCAAGTTCAAATTGTGATTTCGTTTATCAAACTTTATAGAAATTTATTATAGAACAATTCCAGAAAAAATATATACCTTTTAAAAGTCTCTCTTTTGAGGACAGAAGAACTTATTCCTCACATTCACGAGTGTCAGTGTTTGTCAGTTTCTCTTTACAAAAATAAGCTGAAAAAAATACCTTTAGCTTTACAACACTCGCGTTAAAGTGTAACCCTTTCCATAGCATACATTTTTTTTATTTTAACTTTTTCTCTCACTGAGAGCACAAATATTTCTTATCAATTTCGCAATTGTGAAATAGAATAAAACACATTTTACTCCATAGGATAAGATGAGCAATATTTTAAACATCTTCAAAACGAAACCAAAATATTATTTTCCGACAGGACTAAATCTACGTG